GCCCAGAGAGAAGGCTGGTGGAGGAGCAGACGAAGACAGTGAGCTAATGGCGGTTTTGAGATTCTTGTGGGACATTCGAGCACAGCTGTCTGAAAGGCAGTTAGGTCTGGGAGGCAGGTACGGAACCAGGAGCCGTCAGAACGTGGTGGGGAAAGAAGTCACAGGGATGAGAAGAGGCTTTTGGGTGGAAGCCAGCCTTCAAAGAGCAAGTAGAAGACAGGGAAACTGCGAAGGACTCGCCAGTGATTTCAGCCTGATGTGAATGATTGCCAAAATATTCACATTTGTCGTAGTATAAATCTCACAAATGAGCCGGGTGTTGGTGGCGCACGCCTTTAATCCCAGCACTCGGGAGGCAGAGCCAGGCAGATCTCTGTGAGTTCCAGGCCAGCCTGGTCTACAAAGCGAGTTCCAGGAAAGGCACCAAAACTACACAGAGAAACCCTGTCTCAAAAAACAAAAAAAAACAAAAAAAAAAACAAAAAAAAAAAATCTCACAAATGAAGATACGGAGATGATTTTGCTAATTTTACCTGACTACAGTACAGATAAATGTCATATTTCAAAACTGAACTTACAACTAGGCATGGTGGTTCGTGTCTGCTATCCCAGCACTCAGGAGGCTGAGGCAAGATGACCAGCAGCAGGTCAAACCCAGCCCGGGGAACAGAGAGACCTCTCAAAAAACAACAACAACAATAATAAACCCTAGACTTACCCCAAAAGAAATACAAGCACCAGTAAGCACAGCTGTTTGACCTCTCCAGGAGAAATGCCAATCAAAATACATTCAGGGAAAGGGGCGGTTACATCCTTAATCTCAGCACTTGGGAGGCAAAAGCAGGAAGATCTCTACAAGTTCAAGGCCAGTCTAATCTACTCAGCCAGGTTCATGCCTCCCAATGATACATGGTAAGACCATGTCAAAAAAAAAAAAAAAGAAAAGAAAAAGAAAGAAAGAGAGAAATAAAGAAAGGAGGAAAGGAAAGGAAAAACACAAAACAAATTGGATTTTGGAGAAGAATTTTTAATCAAATAATAATAAAATAATAACTTTCAACCAATAAAAGAACCTTAAAATGAAGTTTGGCTCCTTAAGCCATGTCATAATATGAATTTTCTTCCTGACAAAAGAGAGAAGTTATCCAGAGACTCACCCATGCTTTAAGAATATTGCTTAACAGCATGTGAAGACGCTGGTAAGCCACGAGCCATGTGGCAGGGTATAGATTTATAGAAATGGATTAATTTAAGCTATAAGAACAGTTAGCAAGAAGCCTGCCACAGCCATACA